GTATGCCTAACCGTTCGTCAAAGCCTGTCCAGCTTCAACTTTCCAGCCTTTGGATTTTTTTAAAAAATTCATTAGCGAAGATTTTTTTTTTTTCATCAGTTCTGTGCCCTCTGTGTTGCATGCTTGCAGACTGATCCAGTAACCCCTTAGCCTTCTCTTTGCTAAGCTAACAAGACTGAGCTCATGGCTTCTTGCTGTTTTGCTATAATTCGTGCCTTCCAGCCTTTTAATAACTTCCAGGCTTCTTTTGTGCACCCTTCCATCCGCTTTTTTCCTGATCTCTCTTTGTTTATGAATACCGGGGTTTCATTTGGCATTCCAGATGTGAGACCAATACAGAGCGATGCTGTAAACTTTTACTTCTGACAAAGCTCTCTGCTTTATATAGCCATTTCCAATTAGCTAATTTATACCCATCGTCACAGTGGGACCTTCTCTGCTGTTGATTATCTTCAATATTCCCAAATTTGCTAGAGTCACAGCTTTACACGATAATCCTATAGATCATGACTTTCATTTTTTTTCCCTAGATGTAGAGATTTACCTCTGCTGACACTGAAATTCTTACAGTAGATTGATATTATGAAAAATAATAAGAGTAAAAAAGAAAATTATATTATTCTGTTAATGTTCTGTTCACTTTATTATTTACCATTTTCCCCCCAAAATATTATAATTTACAAACCTTCTGTAGTCATTATTTTCGTAGGAATTTGAAATGGGAAAAGTTCTGGCCCACTCAGTCCAGAAAGGGGTTGCTGCAGCCAGTCTTGTATGTACTTTCATTGTCTGATTAAGCTTCTTCTAATTACTGTTGTTTTAGAAATTAAGATGGATCAAACTTAGGCTGAAAATTAGAAGGTTTCTATCCAACAAAAGAGAATGGTTCTGGAATAGTCTTGTATTTCCCTTGGAATACAGAGGACAAAAGGAAAAGAGGAATTCAGATTTCTGGGACCTTGCAAAATCCGGTATCGGTGGTTTCCTCATTTCTAGTTGTATGTTAAGGATCTTGTCATGTGCCTGCCTGTTTTTCTTTTAGGAGGTCCTGTGTTGACTTTTAGTGTTTTGGCTTTTGTCAGATCCTTGGTGGAAATATAAATTTATCTCTCTCTGTTTCTTTAAAGCTAAATTTGTCATCATCGTAACAATACTGGTTAGCCAAGATCTGTGTTCTGTAAATCCATGTCGCTGGACATGAATTCTATTATTCTCCCTTAATTCTTTTTTAATAGAGTCTTCTATCATCTGTTCTGTGATTTTGTCCCTGATCAATATGAGGTGGAGAGGCCAGTAATTGCCTGGTCATCCCATTTACCCTTGCAGAATTCATGGTATGGTGTTAGTTTTCATTTGATTTTCTGGACCGCCCAAATATATTAAGGCATAATGAAAATTGGTGTTGATGGTGTAGAGTTTGAAACTGTCATGATTTTCTGATGGAGCAAACTGTTGACACTGCAGCATTCATCTTAATTCAGAGTATGTGAGGATGTGAAATACCTATTTACAGCTTTTAATTGATGGAATAGAGCTTATTCAGAGCTCAGGCCTCCTCATAGAATCACAGAATAGTTTGGGTTGGAAGGGACCTCTAAAGGCCATCTAGTCCAACCCCCCTGCCGTGGGCAGGGACATCTTCAACTAGAGCAGGTTGCTCAGAGCCCCGTCCAACCTGACCTGGAATGTTTCCAGGGATGGGGCATCCACCACCTCTCTGGGCAACCTGGGCCAGTGTCTCACCACCCTCAGCGTAAAACATTTCTTCCTTATATCTATCTCCTATCGAAAACCTCACAAGAGGTACAAATAATGAATTAATTTAGCTGTCACCCTGTGGCCAGGCATGTTTTATTGCCCATACTTTGTTCATAGGTCAGTCTTGAGCATGATAAGACATAATGACTTACAGAACTTCTCGTGGGGCTCAGCCAAAGAATATAAATGTGGATCTGGAGAGTCACAGCAAGTGCAAGCAGCAGTCAGACACAGAAGGAAATTTGTTCTTGCCCCATTGCAGTTCAGAAAGTGTAGTACAAGCTGTTATCAGATCAACGTGATAGACAGGCTACACATACTGATACGACCTTTTGAAATTTGAGAATTCAATTAAGCCTCCAAATCCATAAATATTGCTTTTTTAATAAAACATTTTATATTAATTTTCATTTCCAAAGAGCAGTTGGAGAGAGTGCTTTGTTCTCTTGCTTTATATACGGCTTTATTTGTTTGACATCGATGTAAATATAGTACATGGGTGGCAGAATTCAACCATTGAACAGAAAGTCAAAGTCCTTGTTATAGATGAATGGGATGTTGCAAACTTTACAGTCACTCATAAATCTTGCTGTATGTCCATGTGATTAATGTCTAACAAGGTTTTTGACGGATGGCTTAGCAACTATTAATCAGGTGTTATGGGACCAAATCATGAAATCCCTTACTTTGTTGGTTAAGGAAAGCTCCTGTTCACTTAGATAGGCAGGGAAATGTCTGGTTTTTCTTTTCTTTTAAGTGGATTTTAAAGTTCTAGCTTGCTGTGGCTTTTAATAAGTACACGGCCAGGCCACAATTTCTAACATTGAAATATGATACTTACTAAAATCTTCTACTAGGACTGTGAGAGCAGAACAACCAGGTAACTTTGACTGTCCGGATGTAGGGAATAAGTTGAGGCCGATGACGTTGGTGAAGGCCATGCATTGCACGATGCAATGAGAAATGAAAACTTCAGGCTGTTTTTTGAGGCAAGTAGCTGGCAAGATTTTCAGACTGGCCCACATCTTAATCGTATTGCTTAAAAATTATAAGGGTTCATGCTGCAGTTACAAGGCAAATGTACTGTGCGTTGAAGATCTCTCCTGTCCTAGCTTCTCTCCTGCTTGGCTGTGTATTGTGACTACTCAGCCATGCTTACACTTAATTACTTCATTCTGAAGAATTTGTGTAACTGTTGAATGCAGGGCACTGGAGCAGAAAGGGCTTTGATCTCTCTAGCATAGTTTCTGCTATGCCTGTATTTTATAACTTCAAGATGAACTCTGAGAATAGTTATCAAGACCAGCTATTTTCACTTCTTTTACAGCTTTTGACTTTTTCAAAGCCTTGCGTCTAACCATCCTGCCCTGCCTATCTAGTAATACCATAAATTAACAGTTTTCTCTTCTTTCTCCTAATCTGTGGCGTTTTCAGAACTGTTCTGACTATCTAACCACAAACTCATCTTTTATTTCTCTGTTCCACTTTTTAACCAACAGGGATAATTCATTATGTTCCCAGCTCAAACCTCTGTTGGCTTATTGTAATCTTGGAGGCAAGTGCTGTATTATACGCTTTACATTTCCTAGTCCCGGATATAAAGTGACACCAGAGTCGTGGAATCCATTATAAATAGGTTTCATCCATAATGGGAGAACAAATTGCTAAGTGTTTTCCTTTTTTCCTTTTTTTTTTTTTAAACTTGATTAAGTTTGAGGGTTTAATTACATTTTTGTGGCAATTTTAGCATTGTGAATTCCAGTAGAGAAGATGAAATGCAAATACGCGAATACAAATGGATTTGGTAAATTACTGTTAAAAATTAGTGCAGTGACTGTTTTTGCTCTTAACAATAAGCATGCATTTTAAAAGCTTGCGCTCAGGTAAAGTTTTAATTGAGATGTTTTAGGAGTTGAAGTTTCCTTGTGTTTGTATTATTTTTTTTTTTCCCAAGCTATCCTGAATTGTTTCTAATTAGGGGCACGATACCATTTGCCTAGATATTTATTCCTATGTAATTTGTTTAAACTTAGACAGCACAGTAGTGATGTATTCCTTTCATTACAGACAACTCTTTGATGGGCTTTGACTAGCTAATTATTAAAATGGAACACATTACTAATAGCCTCCGAGTAGGTAGAGTTTTCTGAAAATAAATAGAGACTCTCTGAATGCACTGACAAAAGTTAATTTTTAAGGGGTTTCTTTCCATCTTCAGACACAAGGAAATTAAACGTGAATAACTTGGAATCTGTTTCTGCTTCTGCAGCGCGGAGTTGCTTAAACAGTATCAAATATCGGGCCACCACTCAGGGCTGCAAGGGTTTCACAAAGGGGACCCTGGTGTCAAAAAGGGACCCCCAAACCCCTTATTGAGTATACTGGGCTAGAGGAAAATCAATCCTAAACTATGTTGCAGAACTGGCAGCTGTGGGAATTCATATTTTCAATAGTAAAAGAAGCATGTTTGGTTTGGGAGCTATTAAAGGGCAATTTTTGCAGCATTCCCAGGATTTTCCCAACAGCATACGTGACCTGCAGCACGTGCACCCCAACACACGCATGGATGTTTTCTATTTCGACATATAAATATACAGAAAATATATAGGCATACATACGCATATATAAAATATGCTTTTGTAACTGAACAGATCAAAAGAAGCATGTTTGGTTTGGGAGCTATTAAAGGGCAATTTTTGCAGCATTCCCAGGATTTTCCCAACAGCATACGTGACCTGCAGCACGTGCACCCCAACACACGCATGGATGTTTTCTATTTCGACATATAAATATACAGAAAATATATAGGCATACATACGCATATATAAAATATGCTTTTGTAACTGAACAGATCAATATTGCTAACCTTTATGTTTTTAAGAGCTGTGGTGTGTAATCAGTCTGCAAAGGCCAGCCAACAACCCACCCACCATCTCCCTGTTGCTGCTGCTGCTAGAATCAGTTTTGGGAGCAGTGGGGACTTCTTGCAAGATACCTTTGGTAGCATCAGGGTTTTGTAGCAGATTGAGTTGGTCAAGTACTGTAAAACGAGCTTTTACCAAATTGGTGGCAGTGGTATATAAGTCACGAGGATCACATTTCTGAAAATAAAGCTAGGTTTCTGTTAATTAGAATTTTTGAGATTTTTATTAATTTTCCAGTCTTAGAGAGTACCTGAAGATCCTAGATATTATAATGCTGTTTTATTTCGAATGCTGAGCTCCCCTTCCTTCTGTTGGCAGATGCTGCTGACAGAGTATCTGGATATGAAGAACACTCGCACTGCCTCGGAGCCGTCCACCCAGCTTAGCTACGCCAGCTCTGGGAGAGAATTTGCAGCGTTCTTTGCAAAGAAAAAACCGCAAAGACCTAAAAATCCCTTGTTCAAGTAAGTGTTGGGATGATGTTAAAGCTGTGCCTAAGCTGTCTTTGGTCCCTCAAGTACTGCACAACACTGGCTGCTAATCGCAGTTTCACAGTGTGAGAAGAGTGTAAGTTTTGAGATGGAGATTTAACGCCCAAAGCTGAAGCCTCGCTAAGATCTCTGTTACGGATTCATCACTAGTTTTTAGAGTGTAGCTGTTTCCAGGGCTCATCTTGGGACTGGGATCCCATTATACAAGCTGCCGCAAAGCATGCAGTGATACATTATGCCTATCTTTGTCCAGGGTAAATTCAGGACCTGTTAAAGAGAGCGATAAAGACTGGACAAAGAGAATTAAGATAACTGTATAATTACTAGATAGACTAAGTGGTTAATCCTATCACTAACTCCTTTAATTCGGAATTCAGAGTGGAAAGAATTAAGTGGTTGGGAGGAGAGTGAGAGAGAGGGTGAGAGGCTAGGTGGCCAAGGGAAGGATTTGGGGGAACAAATTTGATGTGCAAGAATAAGAAGTGAGGAGGAGTTGTTGGTGAGCAGCCCTGTTAGGAGAGGAGAGATGGTCTTGTCATTACACCTAGATTCAGGGGAGTTGTGCTGAATTTTCATCTCTTCCCATGACTACATGTGCTGGTCATTCTCTTTGGGCTCTTGAGGATTTTGGGGGATTCCAAAATGTGCTGTTTTGGCAGCGGGTGCTCCAAGTTCAAAGATCACAGCTTCCTCAGCTCTGCCAGCATAACTGCGTGTGTGGCTGCTCCCTAACTCAGTACTGCCAAAATAATCTTTTTTTTTTTTTTGCAATGAGATTATTCAAGAACAGTTGGTGAGGGAACAAGCAAGTTTCACGGTATATTCGAGGGAACGGCAGAGTGGAGCCTTGGTGGGGAGTACCAGCAGCTTGAGGCATTGACCTTTTAACCATGCTCAGCTGCAGCAGGAGCAGTGTATCTGATGGGTCCTCAGCACCCCTCTGGACCATAAGCTGCTGCAGGGCTTCGGCTGTCTTTCACTACCCATCTAAGCGGTGCTTAGCCTTACGAGGCTCTGTTCTCTGGAGTTGGGAGAGTCCAAGGCTAAAAAAAAAAAATAGTGGAATATTTGCTGGAGGGGGAGCAATTGGAAGTGAGCTAGTGTTTTCACCCTTTGTTTTGCTGGAGATGGGGATCCATGAGGTCTGGGTTTTTTTTTTTTAATAAAGAACCCCTCATTTGTGATTGGAGGTAGGTCATTATATGGTGGGGAAATAATGCAGGAACTTCAGTAACGGGAAAGGCTGAGAGTAATCAGCTGTTTCAGGCAAGTGAGAGGGGAGCTTTGTTCTGCATCCTCTTTACAGATTGTTTGTTGTTTGTTTGTTTGGTTTTTTTTTTCCCCCAGCTAAAACTTATTTCTTGGTTGTCCAGAACTCCCTGTGCTTTGCCCCATGGGCATGTATATCTGGTGGCTGTATTCTCATATGTCCTGGTTTCGGCTTATTATTATTATTATTATTATTA